CTTTAAGTGGAGCTTGAAAAAAGTCGGCGAAGTTCTGATGCATACAAACTTTTGTGCACTATGGACACTGCAAACTGGGAGTAGCCGGGCACAGAGCGTATTTCGGTATCGAAAACGTAGAGGTAAATGCCTCCCCAGTGACCCAAAATGCCTGACTGCTTGCAGAATTTCGCCTCCCCAAGGGACTGTCGAAATGGACGAATACATTTTAGGAAGTTGAATACGCTTTCCTGAATGGTGTAAATGAGAGTAAAAAAAGTTAAAATTGTGCACAAGCCGGAAAGAGGGATTGGTGCAAATATAGCATAGCAACCACGACAGTGTTATATGGATCAAGAGGATATAAGGTTCTCAAGCTCCCCGAACCTGCCCCCCACCCCACATTTTTTGAAACGGTCCCACGTCTTTGCTCCAGTCTCATGTGAGTGGTTTCAGTTACGAGAAATCGCGACCTACGGCTGCCCAATAAGCCGTCATACGGTCAACTCCTGCCGTGAACATCCTCCGTGCGGAGGACATCCACGGCAGAAACACGTGACTGCAGGCCATGTAGCGGCAGATCGGCTAGAGGATGTGGGTTTTTGCACAGACGCAAAGGCTTTCGAGACTTCCAAACAGCGTCCAAAACAGGAAAGGTCCCTGAAGGAACAAAGCAGGACCGGTGTAGCGGTGATGATGGTTCCCGTGGATGCACAGGCCCCCTGCGACCCAATTGCCCCACCTGGGTGAAAGACCCCGGGGTACGCGACCGCCTTGAGCCGAAAGTGACTTTACGTATGCATGTACTATGATATATTTGCATTATTCATGATACAATACATGATTCCGCACACTGTTGGCAGGACGCAGGTCAAGGGTGGGGAGCATGCGGGATGCCATAGGGACGGGTGACCACAACTGAAATATTTCATTAGAATCTGAATTTAGCACATCGCAAGCGCGTTTTTGGCGTGGCGTGAAGCATGACTGTTTCTGAATCATGTTATACGTGTCTCCCAGCAATTTTCTATTGGTATTTCGTTGACTTACATAGCAATAAAGCCACAAGGACACGTGTATATATATATATATATATATATATATAATATAGCTTATATAAATATAAATAAATAAATAAATAAATATATATATGTGTATATATATAATATAACATACATACATATGTATGCATGTATGTGTGTATGTATGTATGTATGTATGCATGTATGTATGTATACGTATATTCAGTCCGAAGATGTTCCATATATACCAATGTGTATACACCCATGAGGCAAACGACACAGGTGACATTTTCCGGATGACAAACGTATGTGTTCCGTTGGAGATGCCAGGAGGTCCCAGACTTGCTATGTAAACATGGCTTATGCGCCGGCTCGACACCCTATACGCCAGTCTGAAGCCAGCATTAACCTAATACACCGAATTACTTTTATAATGATTTACAACGACCAGTTGGCTCTATGCTCTAATCGGGAGAAGGGCGCGGGAAACCGTACAAGAAAATGGGTTAAGATTGGAGCTGTCACACGAGATACAGCTTCACAGTCCATATTTCCGCCGTAACTTTTATGAAACTCATTCATAGCGCGCTCGTTAAAACAATGCATGCCAGTTATATATCCAAATCTTTCTTGTCCAGCGCAAAATATAACGCCAAACGCCCTCGCATACAACAATTACGAAACGTCAGTGAAGACAGGGGCGGATCTAGACTGGAGTTTTTTGTGGGGGGGGGGGGGGGAGGCAACTGTTTGTCGCCAGCTGGCTGGTGTGGGATCCGAGGTCCAGCGCACTTATCAAACACGATGTTTGCGTCGAGTATGTCTAAGCCGCGTCAACATGCGTTTTGTTTGATATTCAAATCGCAGCCAACTTTTCTTCATCAAGTTTTTCACAAACGGAAAAAATGTTTGATACCGCACCATCAAAGTTAAAGAGACGGTAAGTAGAAGAAACTTTTATGAAGTTCTGGGAACGTTTCGGGGGGGGGGGGCAAAACATGCTCTCAGAGTTTTGGGGGGCCATGGCCCCGTGCCCCCCCTCCCCCCCAGGATCGGCCTATGAATGAAGACCGCTTCGCTAGCAAGCCGGGGCACAAAATACACAATTAAGGCTAATCAGGTATCATACAGAGCACATAACCTTTGGCACAAGTCGTCCCCGAACTATGGCGATCCGTATTATCACGTATCAATCCGGCTTACCGAGCATCCTAACTACAACAACCATGCCATGCCAGATCGGAATCCCACAGAGTTAGCTCTGCCATCTGGTCAAAGTCGCGTTCACATTCTCAGCTTGATTTGCCAGCCCCTTTGTTGAACGACGGCGACCCGTCGGCGTTCAACGGCATCACTTCTGCATTGGGGGGGGGGGGGGGGGGGGGTGTCCAGCGACGGCGCTCCTGTGCTTGGTGACAGCCACCCGCCGGCAGGGGAAGACTGCCAACTAGCGCCCTTTGCCGGGTTCTACTCTGGACGGCAACAGCAGCCAGCGCGTAACAGCGGCGCTCCTGCAACGGAGGGACAATTGACAATCTCAGGGACTTCCTTCCCTGAACGGCATCAGTCAAACATGATGATGCTATACTGCATGCAAAACATCTCAGGGCTAGGATGTACTGAACTGAGGGCTGGACTGGGCCGGGGGCTGGACTGATCTGGGGGCAAGATTGGACTGGGGGCCCGGACTGGGATGGGTGCTGAACTGGTCAGGGAGTTGGCCTGCCCTGAGGCTGGGCTGGATCGGGGATGGACTGAATTTGGGGCTGGACTACACTGGGCTGGAGCAGGATAGGCTGGACAGGTCAGGACAGATCAGATCAAGTCAGGATGTGATATGGTCTGTGATCTGCAGAACTAGGCAGAACCGGGTTGACAGGGGATATGACCAAGGCTGGTTGGAGCATCGAGCACGAAGTGGTCTGACCACAGATCAAATCACATCTTACATGTCCAACACAGCCCCGGCCCTAGTCGCCGTCCCCGCCCCGGCTCTGGACCGAACCTGACCCTGCCCAGGTCCCGGCCGTCGTCGCGGTCGCCATCCTAATCCTGGCTCTGGCACCGGCCCCGGCCCCCACCCAACACGGCCCGGCCAGCCCCGCCCTAACTCGCCCCGCCCTACCCCGACCCGACCCGACCCGATCCGACCCGATCCGATCCGATCCGATCCGACCCAATTTTATCTAATCCTACCTGATCCGATACGATCTGATCCGAACCGATCCGATCCGATCTGATGTGGTCTGGGCCTTCCCGCGGCCCTGCTCCAGTCCGCTCTCGGTACAGACGTACGGTTACTGTGACAGTCCCGGTTATGTTTCGGGCGCCGGCCCGGCCCAACCAAGGTAAGGCAGACCACGCTAACCCGAGCCAAGCCAACCGAAGTCCAGCCAAGCCCATCCCGTGGGCCCGAGCTGATCAGTGACGGCAAGCAGGTCGAGCGCTCGGCGGCACTGATGATGCAGCAGTCCGAGCAGGCAGCGCAGCGGGAGGAGCGGCTGATCTTCATGCTGGAGCGGGTGCTTGCTAGCCAGAAGCGACCGTCAGCCGCAGCCGAGAGCAGGAGCGAAGCTCTTAAAGTGGAACAACCCCGGCTAGCTGCACAAAACTGAACATAACATATCAGTCATAATTTGGTGTGTTAATTTTAGCTGGAAACCATTAGCACGAGCCTTATTGAAATTTGGCATAATTTGAGGTGCAATTTTTAATGTCCTGTTTCTTTCTATCACTAGAAGCCTGGGGAGTGGCCAGATTGGACTTGGGGAGGCAAGTGAATCACTCAAGAATGTATATCGACGCCCGTGACCATTGCGGATAAATGAAGTTGCAAAATCCGCGGACAGAATTTCTTATCCGCACCATGAGATCAGCAAGGTCTGCCTGACCTGCCGGTCCTCCTGCCCGTAACACAATGTTGGTTGTCTGCAGCACTGCACACAGCTGATGATGATCGCGGCTCGTGCGGTGGATGTCGGTATGGCCTCCACAGGTGTGGCCGCCGCTGCCGGCTGTGCTGCGGCTTGACCCACTGATGAATCGGATTCATTCCCCGCGATGGGCCTAGGTTGTTGACCGCTGACGTGCCTACTCAAAACTGGCCAGGCTTGGCGAATGATCCTCCGAAGCGGCGCATTCATCATCCGCCGCGACACTGATCACTTAGTTTTGTATGAGCTCCGCGTAAAGATTCGCACTTCCACAGCTTGATTCAGCAGCCGGCGTGTTCCGGACAAATATGAATTTACTTGGTTTGCTTTTTTGTAAACCAGTCCCCTGTCATGTGTCTCCTTAAAGTTATGCCCTACTTAGTTCAGCTCTGTTGGCCTGTCCTTTCGGGTCCCTTCCGACTGGTGGCTGGGTCCCGGATGGTGGACGCCGCGCCGAGGTCCTGCCACCGGTCGGAAGGGATCGGGGTAGTTCATGACCGAGCGACGCCAGGGAAAGGACGTGCGTGTCCCCTCCCTGGCCTGATCAGACAGCGTGGAGTTATGGCCAGCAGTAAAAACATGCGGGGGTTCAGCTCAGTCAAGAGGTCCCGACAGGGGAAACAAATACGTTGCTAACTGAACATCCGGCCTCGTGTCACTATGGGGCCTTACGTCTTTCTTGGTTTAACCAGATATCCTCACTGCACATGTATTGACGTTTTGACCCTGCACGTAGATACGACACAATGGGATGAAGGTGGATGCCTACACAGCGCGTGCGTGGAGCGGCGCTATGCCCTTTCCGGCCACCGATCCACGACTGCCTTCACATAGGCGCAACGATAATGCAGAAAGCGCGGGGCGGCACGCCACAGGCCTCCCCACATATTGGTCGTGACGCAGAGTCGAAAAGGAAATGAACGGTACCTGTTACCTTTGGTATGAACAGCCGGACTGCATGCCGGGCTTTCTGTGAACTTGCAGTTTCATGCCCTTCGGTAGATGGCGCTGATCATAACCAGGCAGCAAAAGCCGAGCAGTTGTTATGGAGGGAGGGGCGGAGGAAAGACGTGGTGGCGGCATGTCACGGCAACGGAGTAGTCATATTAATTGAACCCAAGTGTTGTAGCTTAAGCGACACTGTCGTCACGATGTGTTTGGTTCTAATAAGTACGAGTCGCATTATCCAGACTCGTGTATAAGGTGCACTGCGCTAATAGACGTTTATGTACCATACCGAAAACGTTGGCCCGGCTTCGGTGGCGGGTTCCCGTGGCTTGGCCCGTTTTTTAAGATTACTGGAAATACTCCAGTTCAACTGACATTGTTGGCTCTTTTTCTGTGTTGTCTGTTTGGAAATATCAATGAAAGCTTCAGAACTGGAAACAAATTAGGAGTGCAATAATAAGGTAAGAAGCAGAAATAAGTGCAATGATAAGGTAAGAGTGTAGGAGCCTTTCTGCGTGCGACGGGCCGTATGTTTTCAAATATTTAATAAAAATGATCAAAATCATGTTATGTTTGAAGGCTCAGCACACAAACAGACCATGCGAGACACAAATGTGCAGAACTGGGATACTTTTCTTGGTGTCTCGTATGTCCGTGATTTGGTGCTTTTTTGCACTTTTAGTACGTGTTATAAATGGTCTGCTGCCTGCGTGTTAAAAATCACACTGGTTCCTTGCTGAAATTATAATATTGTCAGATGTCAACTTCTTGAAGATGATAGACAATCATGCGAGCACTGTGAGTAGCAATGGTCGAGACGACAACATGAATAATGCTAACTGCCTGTTCATTATTTCGGGTGCTAAACATGTTGTTTGTGTTGTAAGATTTCAAGGTTGGGTAATTCTGCTAACGCGCACTGGTTGTGGGCGCGCTGGTTGTGGCCGTTTCGTGCCCCGCATTGTCAACCAAATTTGACTCATCTGCTCTAGCTGAATGACAAGTCCCAAAATATCAAACAACTGCTACCTAAAACCAACAGCCCCAGGTGCTACTCCTGTCACTGCACTTCCAAACTCAAACTGAATGAATGGAAAGAGAATGATCCTGGCTAACTAATGCATATCACAGGCTACCATGAAAGCATCCACAATTTATGTCTGCACCCATTAATATTCATTATCACTAAGATCAATCAGACATCTTAGCTGATAGTGAGTGGTGATGAATTGTTACTGAGCATTATCATTTTCACAAGCTCTCAGTCATTGACACTAACCCTTCAACATCAAAACTTTCTTTTTTATGTTTCAAAGTACAGCATTTTCTGGTGTGTCCCATCAACAGCTTGCCCACATTTTTCAATAAAATCACGTTGACAAACAGCACCATGAAATAGGTAGATTCATACCAATTTGCGACACCACAGAATGTCGACTGTCCCACACTTTCAAAGATTTGACCCCTGTTCGTCGTTAGTCCAGTCTTCAAATTACACCTCCAATATTAGGGGAAATTCCAGAACTTGAGAAACCGATCGCACCTTTAGTACCTAGCAGATAGTGCTCACCACATAAGAAATATGTGCCTATCTCCTTGGACCACGGTACCGCTGGACACAAGTTAACCAGCAAGCCTCCAGTGAACCTTGAAAGACCGAAACCTCGAACAGTTTAGAACGACACACAATTATTGGGTGACGAGAATAGCAGTTCTATCACCAAAAGTCGTCTGTGTCACCAACTGAATCGGCAAGCCAACGCGACCAGTTCGTGAATGAAAAGAATGATACATCAACGATGGTGCCAGGGGTGCTAGTTAAAGCCTGGTATAGTGAACCGGTTATACATAAGGGCTGTAACGTCCAGTTACGGGTGGCAGGGCGTCAAGAACCAGCACCAAAAACGAATTACACATAACTAAAATCACAGCTTGTTGCCTTCCATACTCCGTAGCTTAAGGTATCAGTTCCTGGGGATTCCAAATCATCTCTACTGGTATGCGGGTCCAAGCCGTTACGTATTCGCTCGCAATGACGCAGTCAGGGTGGAAAAGAAGGGGGGAAGGGGCGCGGCACAGTGATAACTCAACGCGCTCGCGCCTCGCTATTTGACCCTGCTTGAATGGTGTGAGACCGGTGGCAGAGAGAGACGGTGGCAGCTGCCATTTGATGTCAGGGAGGTCAAAGGGCGGGGCGGCCCGTGCCGAGTATTACGGTACGTTAGGCTTTTTCTACACTGCTCTGTTGTAGAATTTGAGTTTTACGATAGGAAGGTAGGATAGTAATTACACCATAAAACACACACACAAGAATCCTCCTCTGCGTGAGCTCTGATCAAAAAGAAATTCAATGAATCAAAAAGGTTGGGAGAAATTATGACTAAGGTATAACATACCCCCAAGTGTAAAGTTCTCGCATCACCGGCCAGCGAGCCGCGCCAGCCGATCCCGCGAAATACCACAATACACCGATAGACTCTGTCAATACATGATTGTGGTTCCGTGCGATGCACACTTTCTCCGCGTGCCACACGGTGGGGATGTGCGGGCCGGAGGGAGTTTGCTTAATGTCCACCGCAGTGCAACTCTGGCACAGCGCCACAGCAAGGGAAATATAAGCTCACTTGACTTGCTCACTACACATGTCACTCAAGGAAACGTTTCTCCAACTGAAGCGATTACTTTTAACACCAAACACTGGCGTTCGTCTTGGATTTTGCTTTAAGACGCGCTCGGGTGAGGATGAATTTGACCCCTCCCCCCGAAGGTTTTTCCAAAATGGTTTCCGAATCTCAAAATGTCGCGTCAGAAGCAAAAGACCAAACGTTGCATAGCTGTGGACAATTGAATAGCGGATCTTCTGGCATCATAAAATTATATTTACCATTTAAGGTTGCTGAGCTATGGTCGGTCAGTCAGTCCATGGTTTCAGCGAAGGCAATTTCTATGGAGGAATCGCTTTATCTAATCCAACAGCGGAGTGTTAGACGAAGCCGTACATCTCTGAGATGCTTTCTTAGGCAACACAACAAGTGAATGGGCGACCTGCGGTCTGGTATGAAGGTCAGACCAAAGTAAAGTTAGATTTGAGTCAAATCAATCAAAGTCAGAACTGTTTTATTACACTAAGGTTTGTTGTATGCGGTAGTTGCTGGTGCTGATTTCTAATTTATTGATAACAGGAGCCACATTATTCACTTTGCATGGACTTCTTAAAGGTCATAATAGGTCACTGACCTAAAATGACCCAGGTAAACATCTTGATTTTAGGAGCATACTGCCCAGCGTAATCTTCGTCGCTTATCCAAATGCAAAATCAAAAGTTGTCTTGTATGATTTTGGTCATCATGGCCTTCAAAAGGCCAAAAAAGGTCACCGACCTTAAATGAGCATGCGATTTTTTTGCTTAGAACAGTTATCTAGGTTTTAGGGGCTCTTTGGGGACCATCCTAGAATTTCACCTTGTTCGACATTATTTGACCCAAATGGCATGACCTAGGAACATCAAACTTAGAACTAAGTGAGTTTACGTACAGGTCAACACACTCTGTGAATTTGGTTTTTCTAGCTCTCTTAGTCCCTGCGATCTCAGGGGGTCAAATTGCCCCGTCTCCCAGCTGAGTGAAGGGTATCCAACCGGCCACCCGGGCGTGTGTTAACCATCAGACAATGACAAACGGGCGTTTTACGCGAATCAAAACACAGAATGCAAACATCTAGGGCCACGCAAAGGAATTCCCCACCCCGAAAGACCAGAGAGTGCCATCCTCTTTGGCCCTTCCCCAAGAACCTGCCCCAGCCTGGCCACGGTGCGGAGTGCCCCGAATAGCGAAAACCCACGGCTTACATAGGGTTTGCGCCGGAATAAACGAGCTTTTCCAATGCGCATTGGCACCTCCCAGCTATAGCACCTGGGTCACCTGATTGGAAGTTCTGCTATCGCTCAGCAGCCTGCCTTGGCTTTCCGAGCCCGAGGCCGACAGCCAACCCCGCCAATTAGCGACAGGTCTGTGAATCAGCTGAACTGTGGTGCAATGTGCAAGCGAGGCCCGCGCCACGCACAAATGACGGTGACCGTCTCCCTTTCCTGCCGCCCGCGTCATGCCAACCGCGGAACGGTGACGCGAGCGCCGCACCGCGGCGAGTGAAAATGTTTACCAAAAGTTGTACATTGGCAACGATCAAGATTAGCGGGCCCCGGCCTGAAGTGGGCCGCCATTGGTCCGTTCCAGGGCGCTCAATGGCTCCTGTTTGGTACTGGGGTCGAGGACTGGCAAGACCCTTATATTGTCTCACTGCGCAACATTCTATTGTCCGTTTTGTGTTTCCTTTCAGTCTCAGAGTAAGAGGATCGCGAACAACGAAAGTAGCCCTCTGGCGCTCAGGGTCCCGTCCCGTTCTCTGTCATCAAATGTGTCGACTCGGAGCCAATTACTGACACAACCCCCTCCCCCCCCCTTTTAAGCACTAGGCCTTTAGCGAAAACAGGGGTCACCTTGTTTTACGGACCCCGACCCACGCAGGAGACCTTCAGTGGCAAACGGGGACCCAGGTCCTGTCCCTATTTTGTAAATGGACCCCAGGTCCTTTGTCCGCTCAGAGCCAACTGCTAAGCGGTGGGGGTCTCTGACCTACCTTAGAGGCCTGCACTGTTTCGGTGATCCCGATAGGCGAAAGAGGGCCTTTGGGACTAGCATTTGAGGACTAGGCTTGTGGGCCGAGGTCGTCCTCGGGCCAGCCCTTTGTATCCTCGAATCGGGCCCATGATAGCCTATCCCATGGGTCCCGAAGCCCCGTCAAGGCCTTGGGGTAAATGTCCCCTGAACCCCTCGTTTGCACACCTGGGCAGACAAGGAGGGGAGGGGGGGGGGGGGGGACTCAACACAGGTGGGTGTGTAATGCAACTCAATACAAGTCAGCGACTCGCTCTCAAAACATGACTGCAATGGGTGACGTCTGCGTTCCGAAACATACCCAAGTTGATGCCAGTTGGGCTTAAAACATCTCGTTTTCGCTGGCAGGCTGAATGTCCTGGATTTGGGCAGACATTTTCATGTCGTACTCAGAGAAGAACTCAGAATTTTGTCAAGCGGGGTAGGGGGCATGCAGCCTTTTGGAGCCCACCCAGAGTTTGAGGCACCCATGGGTGCCGATTTCTCAGAATGATTTAGGGGGGGGGGGGAGCAGAGTCTTGGAAGTCGCCATAAGTGTTACTTTTGAGTCTGGACCGTTGGAGGAACCGTTTTGAGATTTCTAGGAGCCAATTTGACTGTCGTTTTTGCCTTTTGACCGTGAGGACGCTGTTTGAAGGTTCAAGGAACAAGTGCAACCGTGCTGCAGTCTGCAACTGGAAGGACGGCCAACCAAATGACCTCTCACCACTGGCAATGATCACCAGCTGCTGACTGACACAGGAGCTGCATTATTTCAGAGGTCCCGACCAATGGAATACGCGGGTCCC